AGATAGGTTTTCTTCTCGTCCATGGTGATGTGGCCCTTGCTGCTGGGACGGTCGCCGGCGAAGAGGGGCGGGAACCGGGGTACTTGATCTGATATACTAACGGCTGATAGTATGGAGTCATTGGCAAATCCACCGACTAGTTAAAAACCGTCGCTATCGTCGTGATTCTCGTATACACCTGCCGCCCTCGGAATGCAACCCTCAAGCCCCTGCCATCTCTCCGCAAGGATCGTCCCGGAACCCGTCGATCAGTGTAAGTGGGAAATTGCAGGCCCAATGATGACCCATGGATTGGGTTCACATGCGGCCTGGTCAGGGTGACGATCCGCCCGACTATTGGGAACCGCGGTTGAACGTTGTTTTTGGAGCCCGGTTTTGGTGGCCGCTTTTAGGGCATCGCTCGAATTTGGGTTGAAACGGGGGATGATCCACTGCCTTCTGGGGATTTCGGACTCTTTGCCCGATGGGGATGCGGGGATGCTTATCCGCAGTCATTTGCAAAGTAAATCCTTGGTCAACTGATGCCCTGCTGTGAGAGGTTTGTTGGTCTATCAATTCGCAGGATTGATGATTGATATGCTTTCTCGCTTGCAGGCCGCGGATGTGCCTGTGCCCGTATATTCTCGTACCCCCCTGCAATGCTGCTGCACCGGCATGTGCATCGAGCTGCTTTTATCAGCGGAGGCCATTAACCACCGATTTGATTTAATCGCACCTGTCAGACCAAAGTAGTAAACCACGCAGCTACTGACTACCACCCATCCCCCTAATCAAACAACCAACTCACGCAAAATGGACGAAAAGGCCGCTGCCGCAGCATCAGACCGCATCTCCCCGGTCTCCTCCCAAACCACCACCACCGTGACCACCAACCATCTAGAAGCCCTCGATAAGCTCGAAATCCTCCCTCAAATCCTCCAAGAAGGCATCCTCTTTGCCGGCTCCGGCGCCGCTCTCCTCCTCCAAGCGGCCTACCCCAACATCAAATCTGCCTTTGAGGAAGCCAACAGAACCAAGACCGAAACTATCACTCCAGCCAACACCAGCACCGACAGCAACCTCGCCAACGACCTCAGCAACACCCTTCAAACTGCCCTCAGCTACATTGCCTGCCTTGTCTTCGGCACCAAAGAAGAGAAGAAACTCCTTCTCGACCTCCTTCAAAAAGACAACGCCCCTCTCCCCACCCAAATTCCCTGCGACCCCTACATCCAGCTCTGGCTCACAGCCACCCTCTACGCAACCGCTACCGACTTCTACCAGCGCATCTACGGCCGCGTTGATTACCGCACCGCCGAGAAAGCCTACATCGAATTTACTACGATCTTGTCCTGTCTCAACATCGCCAAGGACGTCTGGCCGCCCACTCGCCAGGCGTTCTGGACGTACTGGGATGACCAGATCGAGCGGTTGAATGTCAGCGGGGATGCGCATCTCTTTGCAAAGGATCTTCTGAGTCGGACGGATTTCCCTCGCTGGGTTACGACCGTGAAGCCTCTGCTGAGGGTCATTACGATTGAGATGCTCCCGCCTCGGATTCGCGAGGCGTATGGGCTCAAGTCGTCGGTCAAGACGAGGGGGTTGTATCGCGGGACAATGGGGTTCTCGGTCGCGGTGTATCCGGCGCTGCCTGCTTCGATAAGAGGATATCCGTTGAGGTATTATTTGAGGGAGTTGAAGGCGAAGTTAAACGCTTAGCTAGCTTTTCTTATTCTTTGTTTTATTTAGTTAGCTAGGATAGTTAGGTTTTAGCTATGGTTCGGGCTAGTGATTCGGAGTATTAGGAGCAGTTAAAGCAATAATATCGTTATCATCATTCTCGTTCAGTTTACTATATCCTATATACTACTATTTCCACATCATGCAGTCTTCATAATAGCCGTCAATAATGCCGATACATCAGTTACCAACTATACCACATTCATTAGCATTACACTCTCTCACGTAGTATACTCTGAAGGAAGAATAGAAGCTTACCGGCAACGCATCCCCAATCAACTCACTCGTCTCATTAACAAACGACGTCGTCAACAACAAATCCGCATTATCGATGATATTTTGCAACTTGTCGATATTGCTACTCGACAACAACTTTTGCAAGTTCTGAGGCGTATCACCGCCCAGTAGCACTGCTGCCCCCTTGACGATCGTTTCTAGGTTGTCGACTGTGTCTTGACTGAGGAGTTCCTTCAGGTTGTCGATGAGGGACGGGAGGTCGGATAGTAGGCCTGTGGATTGCGGGCTTCGGGGGCCGACCGGGTTGGGGTTGGGATTGGCGAGGGTAAGGGAGATTGGAGCGAGGGTGGTGCTGAAGAGGAGGAGGTGTTTGAGATTCATTTTGATTTTTGGTGTTTGGTTTCAAATTCAGAGTGTTAGAGTTGAGATTGGATGGATTATGAATTGGTAGGGGGGTATCAGGATAGTTACTGTTGTGTGTGTAATTATTTGGACTGTCGCTTTATACTATTATAGGAGGGTTATTAGTAGTATTTCTGGGCTTGCTTATCGGGCCTAGAATTGAGTGAGACTGACTAGTACTATGTAGTACTAGTAGTTAGAAGATGTTCGAGATCCCTTGCCTTGGAAGAGAGAGGGAGGCGGGTTTGTTGGCCACCATGCCAAATACTACCTCCGAGGATAATCGTGTTCCTAGTTAGGGAGAATCTGACCTACATGTGAACCGAGCAAGGAAAGGATAAGCTCTTGCGCGCTGACGTCTAGTAACTAGTGTATGCTACGCTACGCCACCGTTTAATATCAACACCCCGCATCTTAGGGCTCACTAAACTGTCGATCACCCCCGGCGTGGCCCAATAGCGGCGTGGTGCCTCCCGCAGGAGCAGGAACCAGTTAATCTATTTTACTGTGGCGGAGGGAAAGCGGGAGAGGGGAAACAGGAACATGAGGTTGTTCCTCGGACCGAACGGTACATGTGATTTTGCTTGTTCCATTTTAGCGAACGCACGATGGATGTGTGGTATCTATCTTGCAGGACGAGGAGGAGGGGAATGAGATACGTTGATCCTGAGTGCTGGGTTGGGTACCGTGCGTCTAGATGCATGCATGCACCTCCTCTCGTCTCGTGTCGTGCTCGGAGATATGTCTGCATTGGGATCGTGTGGAATCTAGACTGGGATGTTCGGCAATTGTATTTGGGAAGATCTAATCTCATGCTCATCACCCAGTTCTTTGGTGGTAGCTAGCTTGTTGTTGTTGGTGTGGTTGCGGTTCTGGCCGTTCTTGGCTTGTGCGCAAAGTGCCATGTTTCTTTCCCTTTGGCCAATTTTGAAGTGCTACTGGCTCAATTAGTGCAATGATGATTGTCAATGGGAAATGAGCTATGTTTGGAGCTAGAGTGTTGTTGGAATAAGGATGTTTTAAGTACCTGGGTTGAGAGAAGGCTCTTTTTTGGGCCTCCTGGTGGGTTCTCATTATTGGGTTCGGGCGGCTCTTGCTATACTTAGCAACGACGGTTCTGGAAGATGAACGCGATGTGCGGTTTCAGGGTGGTCATTAGGCTGATGATACTGGATCTTTCTGGATAAGTTTTAGTCTTATTTTTTATGGGATTGATGGACGTGCACGGAGTGATTGATGTTATAAAGGGGAAATGCCCATGTTTGGATGGCTCGAGGTTGTTGGTTTGGTGAAACAGCAATGGTGAGACGACTAAACATTTTTCTAGCAGTGATAATCCAGCCAAAGATGTCGCTAAGAAAACTTTTACTCGCAGCAAATTTTCCTTTTGGCGATTCTGAGTCTTGCGGTATTCTGCAGGCTGCAGCATCTCTAGAGAGCATCGGGTCCTGAATATTGTTTTCAACGGGAGCTGACACGACACACTAGGGATAAGGCCCTAATCACAGACGATGAATTAACAGGCAGAGTTTTCAATAAAGGTAACCAGATAGGCAGATGATCTGCCTATTCCGTCTGTTTCCTCGATTTGTCATGAGTTCAGCCAGCGCTGGTCCACCAAGAGATGTTATTCGACCACTCAAGTATCAGCCGTAATAGTCACAGCTGGAGCCTTGTCGCTCTATAACAGAATGGTTGGACGTGAGAATCATAGAAACTCCAAAGTTTGTTTCCTGATCACCATACTGCAACAACGACATACATTTTGGATATACGAGGGCAGTCCCCAAAAAAATCATCTTTCTCATTTAAGCTCTATCGCAAGGGGTTTAAACTGTAACATATCAAAAGACCTCAGGAAGAGGGTCTGTAACGGTATGCTGAATATATGGGATCTGAGAATAGCTGCAGGTCGCCTCTAGGCGTCACCATATCCCCGAGTTCATCTTGGCCATCTATATCTTGGAATATAGAGTTCCACCTGTCTTGCCATTTAATATGCGCCATGATATGACATAGGACAGATGTTCTGTCAGTGGGTGATAGAAGGTTAAACCACTTCGTACTGTGCATGTAGTCTTTGAAGCTGTCATTGTCTTCATTTGCAGCGAGGTCACTCTGTGCTGCTCTGTGGTGTCTATGTATTCAGTGTAGTCCAATCCGAATGTAGAGTGGACAAAACGCAAAAATGTAATTGTCCTGGCAACGAGGAACCCACTATAACACAAATGTACATACATACATTTGCCAATTGATCAATAGTATCAAACCAAGTGCCATTGGATCTATAGCATCTATGCACGTGACCTCGTGACATTTGGACTTGGCTTCCAGACGCATTTCATTACTGACGCGTCAAACCTCCTTCAGTTTTGGTATTACTCGCTGGCGGCCAGCACATCCCAAATCTGCTGGGGTTTACAATAAAATAATGCTACGAGATGTCAGATAGACCCAAGTGCAAGGCCACTGATGATCACCAGTATTCTTCTGTACGGCCTCCCGGTCAATTCAGGCCGCAACCAATGATAAGAAGGTCAATCAAGCCCAATTCAATCGTATCAATCCTGCGCGACAACAGTCGAGACCGCCTATATGTCCCTCCAGTAGCCTGGACTATGAGACAACTGCGGCTCTTGGGTTGCAGTTTCACTCTGCAGACAAGCAAGAGGAAGAAGCGCCCACACCCCCAAGTTGCATTATTGGGTTCACCCGTTCACGACTTCCGAAGACCAAATCTGCCTGCAGACCTCCATCGTGCGATGTTGCAGTTTGGAGGGCGAAGGACGTCGGAGGTCAAGAAAACGGCTATCAAAGAAATAGTTGGCGCCTATGGTTTCTCCCGCGTCAGGTAGTTGGCTTGGATGCCTGCCCTCGACCGAGCTTGCTAACAGCCACAGCTATGAATCTTTGTCTTTCTACTTCCGCCAGCAGCCTGTCGCCAGTATTTGGACAGAGGGCGTATTCTCCCGCAACTCCACCGGCCCATCTCTCGCCTATGTCACATTCGATGGAATACAATCCCGTCGGAGCAAGTTCGTACACAACTCACCGGGAAAAGGATTCAACGAGCCCGTGTTTAGGACATGTGATAAAAAGCAGCGATCTCTTCAGCCAAAAAATAATGTCGAAGATCCATATATAATGGGAATTATAATCGCGCTTGCCCAAGAGCAGCGGCAGCACAGGCAGAGAAAAGAGCAGCATGACGAAGAAGCTACTGAGTGCTCAATCCCTAAACGTGACGATGGACACACAACCAACAGCACATTTTCTGGCACGCCACCTCGTTGCAGCACCGACCGAAGCCCTCATTACTGTGGCCAGTGTCTCAGGGTATGTGGCACATTACACGAAAACATCATCACAGCTTGCTGAAGAATTTGAAGGTCGCCGTCCTTGCCACTTCTGGAGTGAAAGACGAATGTCTATACGTCTACACCGCTTCTATCTCTGTCGCGTTCCTTAGGAAGTTTGACGAACCGTGGCGCTCTTCACCGAGCTCACCAGTTGTGATAGAATACTATCCTATCCCTCTTAGATCCCCTATAAAGTCGTTGAACAAGCTGCACCGAGTACTCTGTGCTGGATCATGCCGCTTCTGTGCCGGCGATAGCCCACAAGCTCTGGGCTGAGCCTATGAGATCCGAAACAAGGCCTGCTACCAAATTCAACGCGAAGCATGAAAGTTATTAGCCCGCCAAGGATACTTCCTCCCACGTGCTTGACGATGTCCAAGAGCCCAAAACACCACCGAGCTTGATCGCGGTTCCCCCGACATGCAATTCGGACTCTGGTGCTTGTTCATGCTTGAACCCTTGAAGAGCCCAGCAATCCCTCGGAGCCATATGGTCTCTTCAGGGACCCATGCATGGTACGCAAAAGAAAAGCTGTTGGGCCCGACGTCTGTATAGCCAGACTCGACTTTGTTTAGTCGTCACGACTGACATCCGCCCTGCTTCTCTCCATGCTCTTCTAATAGCACCAAAAGGGATAGAGCCATAAAATTTGTTGGCTAATGATTTACGAACTGCAAGAAGAGGTTGGGGGCCTCAAGTCGATTATCAATGTCTTGACAGTAACATGACTCCCGTGATGGCCAGATTTCGGAGCCAAAAGTTTACTATCATACACTAGAGTGACCGAATTTGTCGAGGACCTAGCTCCTTGGTAGAAGGCGTGAGTGGATAGCATCGTCCCACTCCATATCTCTCTTACTGCGGTTGCTGTATGTCTACGTGATAACCAGTATAAAGTAAGTGTCATGTCCTCTAGTAAAAGCTGCGTAGGAATGCGTTGAAATACTTCCGAAGTTCTAAAGAACCCCAAGTAATGGTAGATATGCAGTAGGAATAAACAACCTCGATATTATCAATATGTACAGCGAACGGTCATCATCATGCAACGCTCTATGGCAAGAATAAAAAAAACGACTGGCAATTAGTACTTTGTCAAGTGATACAATGGCACTCCGAAACTCCAGGTAACCAGTGATGACATTGACGAGCCAGGAATAAGAATATTATATAGCTATAGCATAATGCTAGTTCAGCTGGACGTAGTTTGCTGGGTACACAAATTAGCAAGCTAGTTGTCAATAATGACAGACGGTCATGCTTACCAGGAAATTGTCCCTCTCGTCCGTCAACACGGCCGCTCCACCACTCATTCTGGTTATCCGTTCGCTGTGTGATCTCGATGACATCACCGGCGGAAAAGCTGAGATCGCCGTGCGCCTGGGCCTCATAGTCATATAGTGCCGTGACCGTTTCGACGGGAGCGCTGAATCGAGCGGGCTTTGGCTTCGGCGGCGGAGGGGCGGGCTTGCTCTTTGCTGCGGCGGTAAAGCTGCTGCCTGCAGTGGCAGAGTAAGGCGGCGGTGGGTTCTCGACAACATCGGGATCACGCTGACGTGAGGCGGAACCACTCTTGCCCTCTTGCGCCAATTTGTCCTTGGGGGTAAGCTTCGAGCCGGGTTTACGTCCGCCCGTGGCTTTGAAGTGGACGATGCTGAGCTCCTCGGCGCGCTCCTTGACGTCCCCGCGCTTGTTCTCGAACGCTTCCTCGATGTCCAGATTCAGATCGAAGTAGCCGATATTGATGCCCTGCATTCGCTCGTGTAGTGTGTAGAAGACGTTCAGTTGCATGTAGTAGAAGGACTGGAACAGAGGACGAATGAACTCGGCCTCCAGGGCGAACAGCTTGGGCAGCTCGTCCTTGAGCAAATCATTGTAGTAGTTGTAATCCTGTGTCGCTTGCTCCACATCATTTTCAGCCTTGTAGAGCGCCTTCTCATCCTTCAGCGACTTGTCCTTCTTATCCTGCAGCTTCTTGAGCGAGTTCTTGTGGCGGTCGTAGTCCAATTTCTTGTGGTCTCGCTTCACCGCGACTTTGCGGATCACCTTGATTACCTCCAATAGCTGCTGTGCAGGGCTGATGACGCGGGTGTCGATCATCTCTAACTCGGGCACCAGCGATTCTTGGAGGTCCCGCACAATCGCCTCGTATTCCTCACATGCCCGGATACCCTCCGGATTGCCCTCGATTGTATAGGAGCTAGGGTCGGAAGCACGACCGGAGATGGGTTTGTAGAGTTCCGTCATCGCTTTGGAGAAACCGATCTGGTGGTTCAACATGCCTAGAAAAAAAAGGGTCAGTCAGCGAAAAGGAGGGGTAGCTGCGAGACGGGGGGATCCGTGTGTACCATTGATGGCATCGAAGTACTTCTTGGACTCATCGTGCAGTTTCTTAGTCTCCTTTTCGAGTTCTTGAAACCGCCGCTCAGCGTCCAGGTAGACAGGGTCCTTGGTATGCTCGCCAATATTGAACTTGGCCTTGAACTGTTGTGGAGCGCGGACAATGCTCTTCTGAAAGCCCTTCAAACTCATCTCTGATTGGCCGCAGGTCGCCTAACGCCCGCGGAAGGGTTCGGGTTTAGGAGAACAGGAGAGTGGTGGTGGTAGGAAGTGGTGTAAAGGGGTCGGGAGACGGTCGCAAAGGCGTAGGAGGGTCGAGAAAGTTGAATAACCAAAGCAGATCAGACCAGGGATCTCGTGGTAGGCCAGAAGTGGGGAGGAAGTGCCTTTTGTTCACGGCAAAGGGACTAGTGAGAACTAAAGAATACTGGCTGCCGGTGACGGTTAGACTGCCATGGTTCGTGGCTGAGCTATGACATAATGCTCTGCCTGCTCACCGTGGCTGAGTTTCAATGTGGCTCCCCCTTTCTTGTTCGTGTTTGGGTGTTGGTTCCAGTTGGGTTCCTGGTCAAATGGTAAGGCTGCAGAAGGGAAAGGAAAAAATATGGAGTAGCCTGGAGACTATAATAGTAAGTAAGCGAAAAAATCTATAAGATCAGCCCCTCTCCAGGCTCCAGAACTTCTTCTTCTTCTTCTCTCCAGACCTCTGAAGAACTTCGATCCCAGATGTGGCTCAGGGTCGGATCGTAGGGCCGATTACTCAGCCGGGGGGGCTCGGAGTGTCGGAAGCAGCAGCAGCAGAGATTCTCCATGGCTTTTGCGGTGTTTGTTAGGCACCAGAGTATCCGGTTGCACTAGTGGCCACTATCGTCAACACAGACCTCGACGCCCAAGAATTCTTCCCTCGTTTTCTGCCGGTTTCTGCCACATCAATGGTCCTGTGCCCCGTGATCGGTCGAGCGCTGGTTGTCACGATGCTTTCTTCTCAGCTCGTCAGCCGTCAGCCGTCAGCGGCCAACACATAAGGCTGGGTCATCCCAGTGGGAAATCCGGGGAAATTCACCGATGACGAGGTTGTCGGCCAGCAACATCAACGGGACTCAATGATTGTCTCACAATGAATGTGGAATATGCGCCCCATAGCTGTGTGCCTGGATTCGGCCATCCCTTTTAGGATCTTTCGTCTGATCAATCCATCCAACATGCCTTCTTACATTGGCATGCGCATTGGGCGATGGACTTCCTGGAGATTATAGACTCATCTTAGACCCGTCTTACGTTTACCTCACTACATAAGCCAACTCACTAATCAACTTCTCCGTAGTCGCAGTTGGTCTCCGCGGGAAGCTGGCGAACTCCCCTTATCAAGGGCCCAAGTAACACCGAGACCGAGACCCAATGGGGAAATGGCCGGACTATCTGATAAATCCGATCGGGCCTAGCGGGCTCGGCAATGATATAACCGGATCCAAACTTTTTCCCACCGGGCGAACTCGTCGTCCCCCTGCTGTCATCTTCCCTTGGTCATCAACTGTTCATCCATCGTGTATGGTACAGTTGCAGATTTCATTCACATCATGTCTACTATGACCCCTACTGCCTTGAGACAGGCATCCCGGGCTTACGCCCGTCGGCTTTTGTCGACTCCGCATGGCTCTCTGACGGCATCCCTGCCCCGGCGGGTGGTCGCCACCAGCGTCGCTATCCCCAGACGCTCGTACGTCTCCGAAACCAAGGCTGGAAATGCCCAGGTTACGGTGGACACGGCCATCAAGCAGGACCAGAAGGCTTTTGTGAACCAGACTGGACTTAATGCACAGAAGGTTAACCTTCCTGGATCGGGCATCTCCGGCGATGCGTCCATGAGCCCTACCGCCGGCATTCTGAAGCAGGCCACTGTTATGGACCAAGGCACCCGCCCTGTCTACCTCGATATGCAGGCAACGACCCCGACGGATCCCCGTGTCCTTGACGCCATGCTTCCCTACCTTACCGGCATCTACGGAAACCCCCATTCCAGAACTCACGCCTACGGCTGGGAGTCCGAGAAAGCCGTCGAACAAGCCAGAGAACACGTCGCCAAGCTTATCGGCGCCGACCCCAAGGAAATCATTTTCACCAGCGGTGCTACTGAGAGTAACAACATGAGCATCAAGGGTGTCGCCAGATTCTTCGGTCGCTCTGGCAAGAAGAAGCACATCATCACCACTCAGACTGAGCACAAGTGTGTTTTGGACAGCTGCAGGCACTTGCAGGACGAGGGATTCGATGTGACATACCTGCCCGTGCAGAGCAATGGATTGATCCGGATGGAGGAGTTGGAGGCCGCCATTCGCCCCGATACTGCCCTTGTCAGTATCATGGCTGTCAACAACGAGATTGGTGTCATTCAGCCCATGGAGGAGATCGGAAAGCTTTGCCGCTCGAAGAAGATCTTCTTCCACACCGACGGTGCCCAGGCTGTGGGCAAGATCCCCCTGGATGTCAACAAGCTGAACATTGATTTGATGTCGATTTCCAGCCACAAGATCTATGGCCCCAAGGGTATGGGTGCGTGCTATGTTCGCCGTAGGCCCAGAGTTCGTCTCGAGCCTATCATTTCCGGAGGTGGACAGGAGAGAGGTCTCCGCAGTGGTACCATTGCCCCCCACCTTGTAGTCGGATTTGGTGAGGCTTGCCGTATTGCATATGAAGACATGGAGGTACGTTCCACTTTTTCCTTGAACCTCAGATTCCTTCCCATTCAAGATGTTCCCGCGATGATTATAAGCTTTAATATGTATCGATTAACTGAGGCGCCATGGGGGTAGCGACACGCTTTGCGTGTCCCCATGGCGCTTTGACGACCGTAGCAGGGGTGATGAGTCGGGTTGTTGCATTTGCTTATGGCGAGACAGCGAGGTCGATGAGAAATTAGCTGACCAATCTGCACAGTATGACTCCAAGCACATCGCAAGGCTCTCGAAGCGCCTGAGCGACGGCCTCTTGGCCATGGAACACACCACGCTCAACGGTGATCCCGACCGCCACTACCCCGGTTGTGTTAACATCTCCTTTGCCTACATTGAAGGCGAGTCGCTTCTGATGGCTCTGAAGGACATTGCCCTCTCATCTGGCAGTGCCTGTACGTCCGCCTCTTTGGAACCCAGCTACGTCCTGCGGGCTCTGGGCAGCAGCGACGAGAGCGCCCACAGCAGTATCCGATTCGGTATTGGCCGGTTCACGACCGACAGTGAGATTGACTACGTGCTCAAGGCGGTGCAAGACCGCGTCCACTTCCTGCGGGAGCTGAGCCCGCTGTGGGAGATGGTTCAGGAGGGTATCGATTTGAACTCGATTGAATGGAGCCAGCACTAAAACTTTCTCTTTCTGTGTTAAAGACTGACTGCGAGGGGCGGTTATATGGTCGTATACCAGGCGCATACTTGTTGTTTCTTTTCCAGATATCAGCGGTGGGATGGCGTTCATATAGTGTGTAACATTATAGGATTGATGACGATCTGTCCAGTCTGTACGAAAAAATGGATATTAATGACCAATCAATTGATCGACCTAGAGACGTGAGTAGTAGTATGTAGACAGACGCTTCATCGGCAACGGATAGTCTGAACGATCAGATGACCTTTGGAGTGACTTTTGAGTGACTTGTGCCTGTCGTTCTCAGCAGGTTATGCATATATAGACCATGAATATGCCCCCAAGGTATTGATTCATGTGTAGGGTATTCAGAGAAAGTAATATCGACAGATACTCATGATCTAGTACTGGTATCCCGTGACCCCTTTCATGTCTGCTGACTCACGAAGGAGGCACCAATTCGGGCCAGCTGCAGGTGCTGTATGATTGGCTTGTATAGTATGTAGTAATAGTAGTCTCACGTGATTGACGTTTGACGCGGAGAACTCCCGGCGCCGAGGTAATCACTAATCACGTCTTCAGTGGAAAAAAAGAAAGACAGACGGAAATTCTCCGGTGGATAGAACCAGTTTTGAAATGTGTTTATGTCAGAAACTAAAGATAATCATGCAGATCAGTAGTTGTCCAACCAGCGAGGTCGGAAGTCGAAATAAGATGGGCAGCTCCGCACGGGGCCGACCAACTCACCGCAGACCCGAACGGGGTGGCGTGGGTGGGAGCGAATACGCCCCCCAGCTCGCTTAACTGCCCGATTTCGCACTCGGCCTCCCCTCCCACGCAGTCCCGGTTCATTCTCTAGCACTCAGCCTACTGGAATCCGGTGGACACCCCTTTCGCTCGCACCCAGTCCTCCCGCTGGCGTTGTCCCAAGGGCCTCATCTACTCCAGATGCGCCTGCCGCCCATCAACTTTACCCATGGGATGGTTCACAGTTCACGCCTCCCTTCTCCGTCGCTGCTGATATGACGGATATCTTCATCAACCAAGATTCCCCCAACAACCAAAACTCTGTCTCTCAAACCGCCCGTCTTCCTGGCCACTGCAGAATATTCGCCTCTACTCTCTCTCCCGTCTGGCCTGCACTTAAGTTGGATCCGGCCCACTTGACCTCTGGTCACGACGGTCCATCCACGGACTAGTCAACTGTCCTACCCTTCACCATGGGTACAGAATATACTACCTCCACGATCGCTGGCTCTACCCCTGTTTCGTGTCGGTCGACGGTTTCCGGGTGACACAATCGCCGTTATTACGGAATGACTGGCCCTGGGTCGCCAGGCTGATTAATTCTCTCGTCCGGCTATTCGGTCCTCGCGGCTTTCCTGGGAACTTGTCCTGGTGGAAAATGGTCGCTGATTATTTAACTTCGGGAGAGGACCATTGTACGATGGGCTTAGTTTGAGCAAATTTTCCATCCCCTTTCTTTTTTAACCTTTTCCTCCCTCATCTCGCCATCTTTTTGTGTCCAAATCTGTCCCGGTTGTTCCCGTGACCTTCACAAACCTCAACTTTTCTGACACTTACCAGACCTGGCGTTGCCTCTCGTGCCTGGTCTCCTGCTCTGAGCCTTGCTCGTCTTGCTGTGGCCTGGGTCAGATCAACCGAAGCCTTGTTTTCTTGACTGCATCGCAGTTGTGAGGCGTCCGTAACAGGCCCGACACGACACTTACCTCTGTTTGTGTCCGATCTTGTCAGCTTCTACTTGGTCGGTTGGGATCTCGCCTGCTTTGTCGCAGTGTGTGCGTCACACGACTGTTGCTTTCCTAGAGATTGTCCGGACTCACGTCCGGGCACTGGAACCTCTCCTTCCTCCGAGCTTCCATATTATTCCGCTCGACGTCAAGTCCCGGACAATCAGCGAACCTTACACGACTGCCCTCGCCGTGAGCCCACTCGCACGTGAGCTTCTACTACATTAATATTAGGCGTCGTCGCTGGCTCTTTGGGCATTTTCATTCACCCAGACTCGTATATCGTGTCGTTTAGGTTGTTTTGAGCCGTCCCATCATCATGCTTCCTCCGATTCCAGCATTGGCGGACTACGGCATCTCGGCGGACCATGGCTTCCTCCCTCCAGAGCCACCGCTTGAGATCTTGCCAGACCCTTATTATGCCAAGTGGGAGTGGGTCGTTTCCAACCTGCAGGCTCTTCTGACTAGCCGGAGGATCCGGGAGGTGGTCGACCATATGTCCACGCTGTCTACATCATATCTCCAGTCGGAGAACGAGTGGCGCAGGGCCTATGTCGTACTGGTATTTATGCTACACGGGTATGTGTGGGGGGGCAGCAAGCCGGCAGAGGTAGGTGACACAAAGCTATAAAGTGGTTCCTGAGCTAATTTTGGTGACCAGAAAATCCCGCCTCAGCTGACCGTCCCACTATTCGACGTCTGCGAGCACCTGGGTCTGCCACCCGTGGCCACTTATGCAGGGGTGTGTTTGTGGAACTATAAGCCTATTTTCCCGGAGGAACCGATCGATGATTTACGTAATCTGGACACCATCAACACATTCACAGGGTCTTTGGATGAGAAGTGGTTCTACCTGGTCTCAGTGGCCATTGAAGCTCGTGGAGCACCCTCGATCCCGCTGGTACTGCAAGCAATTGCGGCGGCCCGGGCTGGAAACAGTCTGGTAGTCACTGAATGCCTGCAGCGACTTGCCGAGGTGCTGGACGAGGTAGGGTCGCTACTGGAGCGCATGTACGAGCATTGCGATCCCTACGTGTTCTACCACCGCATCCGGCCCTATCTGGCTGGCAGCAAGAACATGGCTGATGCCGGTCTCCCGCATGGTCTGTTGTACGATCATGGAAACGGGCAGCCCGAGTATCGACAGTATGGCGGCGGTAGCAACGCCCAGAGCTCGCTGATCCAGTTCTTCGACATCGCTCTGGGCATTGAGCACCGTCCGACCGGGGAGACGCGTCCGAGCAGCACTCCGATAAAGGACGAGAAAGAGGGGGTTGCTGGGGCACCTCGTCACGGGTTCATCCAGGAGATGCGTACATACATGCCTGCAGCGCACCGTCGTTTCTTGGAGCATGTCAATGCTGTGGCCAACATCCGGCAGTACGTGGAAGCACGCCGGTCGGACAAGGCACTGTGCATTGCATACGACGCATGTCTGTCGATGCTTCGGGCAATGCGCGACAAGCACATCCAAGTCGTATCCCGCTATATCATTATCCAGTCTCGGGACGCTCGGTCCAGTCGCCCAGCGCGCGCAACCAGTCCCAAGAGACCCATCAACTTGGCGACCGCCCGAAACGGCGAGAAGCCGGACAGCAAGAAATTGCGGGGCACGGGTGGAACGGCCTTGATCCCGTTCCTGAAACAAGCACGGGACGAGACAGGCGAGCCAGCGATCGATGCATGGGCCCGTCGGCTGTTGAGTACCGGACCGTCGGAGTCTAGCTTTGCGGCGCTGAGCAAAGTGGACGAGGACCACGATGGACATCTCCAGGTAGTGGGGCTGTCAGGAACATGGGCAGCGGATGACAGTGAGGGTGGCATTTGTCATTGGTAGCATTGCATGGAATAGATGCTGCATGATTTTGTTTCAATTTTTGTTTGTTCATGATTCACTAATGAGCGGGTCGGTGTTATCACTATCAGCATTGAGACAGCCGATGACGATGACGATGACGAGGGGGGGATGATCGATGTACATAGAGCGATTCAATACTTTTGATTATGACGAGACTGATGAACAATGCATGAGAGACTGGACGTCATTCCCACTTACCTGTTTGCCTCCTTGCCCCTTTTGTTCCTGTTGCGGATCCATTTTGGTGTCACTTCGACTCTGCCGTGCCTGGCGATGACGTCGGTGTTTGACGTCATGTACCCCGGACTCACCACCACCCATCTATCTATAAATACACCCACAACATCAACACCATCAACACAGCATTTCCACAAGAAACAAATAATCACCACTACCTTACACTACATTGCAATCAATCTACTCTCTACTACATTTCACAAAACCAACACTACACACCAACAACCACAATGTCCTCCACCGACTCCCCCAACAACAACAACACCACCACCACCTCGACTCTTAAATCCTACGTCGACCAAGCAACCGGCATGGTCCAACGCGCCGCTGGCTCCCTAACCGGCGACTCCTCCACCCAGGTTCGTTCTTCCTTCCCATCCCCATCACCATCAACCCCACAAACTAACAACCTCCATCTAGTCCGCCGGCTCTGCCACTCAGTCCCGCGGCGAAGCCGAGCACAACGCCAGCCACAACAACTTCACCAAGCTTGGACCCGTTACCGCCGACCCTGCCACGGGCGCTGCGGCCACAGACCACCCTCAGCGCAGCAACGGCAGCTGGGACCAGACCGTCGGTTCTGCGAAGGAGTCCCTAGGCAACTTGATTGGAAATGAGGGTCTGAGGAAGGCTGGTCAGGAGCAGAATGCGGCTGGAAAGCAGGCCGAGGCGGAGGGCCAGGTGAGGGATTGGAAGGAGGGCGTTGAGGGTAGAGCTAAGGGAGCTGTGGGAAAGGTCGCTGCTGCGGCGACGGGGGATGAGGAGGAGGAGAGGAAGTGGAGGGATGTACATGATGAGGGGAAGGTTAGGGAGAGGGGGGTCGAGAGTGAGGTTCAAAAGAGGTATTGATCCACTCCCTCCGGATGAGGGATGGATGACACGATACGATTGATATGACTGTTTTGATATGGGAATGGAGTTATTGATTTACTTTATCACCTCGTGTGGTTTGTACTATTAGCACGTACTAGGAGGTAACAAAGAGTCTATTTTTGCGTTCGCATTGATATATGGTACATGATGCTATAGTACAGAGAGGCTGGCTTTAGTACCTCATATATAACTTTGCAACCACTCATCCTCCGCCAATTCTCGAGCAGAACTACGCTTACTCGGCTCCCACTGTAGCATCTTCCGCATGAAATGTAGGAACGCCTCTCTCTCCGCCCGCCCCTCCAGAGTAGTTTCCCTTTCATCAAGGGGAACCTGATCAGTCAATAATTCTGGGTGGAGAAAAGCACCTATACTCATCGAATTAGTAAAATAGGAGATAAATCGCATGAGGTGCGGTGTAACCACCTTCACTCGAGAAGAATTTATCTCTCAGCTCCCCCTGTGCAAGCAAACTCTCAGGCGGCGAGCCAAGAAGATTGATCATCTCGGCAAGATGCGCTCGACTCCTATACCTCTCATCTACAGGGTCTTGCCCGGTGAGCAAGGAACCGCCTTCGTATAGATCCCAAATCTGTCAGCTAAAGTATTAGTAAATCTGTGGACAGATTTATATCGTTTTTGGCCTATCATGCATCCAACATTCCAAATATCAGCACTATACGTCCATGGAACTCCTAATATCACCTCCGGTGCTCGATAGATCTGGGGCTGAATGAATACCCTCTGATATTCATCGTTGACGATCATGGCTGAGCCAAAGTCGCACAGAACCGGGGCACCAACTTCTCTGGGTACTTTGAGTTCTCGTGACATGTATATTGTTCTCTCATCGCCCTCCTTCCTCGGGACGGGTCGTCGGGATTCGTTCTCCTCTATATCCGTGAAGACTGAGTCATCTTTAATACCGAACATGATATTATCGGCTTTGATATCTTGAAGGGTTAAAAGGAAAAAGTGAGAATCTTAGAAACGGGTATGTATATATATCGGGCTACAAACCTGTGTGCGCGATCTTGCATTCCGTATGCAGAAAGTCCAGTGCTAGAAATAAGCGATGAAGAACAACAGCAATGACTGCGGATGGTAGCCTCTCAACCGGATTACAGTGCAAGAAAGCTAGCACGCTTTCCCATAATGGGGGGTGCACAAGGCAATGATGTTTGTCTTGAGGGCCGTCGATGTAAAAAGTATCCAGTAAGGTTCTGATGACCTCGCGGCCGGGATGTGTGGTTGGGGACTGTTCCATGAATTTGTACATATTAAGCTCGTTATCGACATGCTGACCCATAGACGAAGCTTCAATGCATATCTTGAGCATAACATAACGGCGGTTTCTTATGAAGTATGAGTATCTCACATAGACTCATTCATGGGAAGAAAGGAAAGAGGGTTCCCCACTCCATGTCCCGCGCAAGCCACGCCGTCGAAGTCGATTCATATCCCAATTTGCCAATGACTTGGTACTGTTCTTTGATGACTTCTCCTATTCGTGTGGGATAGTACTGTGAGGCTGTATATTCGGGGAGAGTCTCTTCTTCTATTTTGTGCCAATTGGGGATGCGAGTGGAGTTGGGGTTGTTGAAATCTAAGGGTTTCCAGCGTCGCCCTAGCTGGGGTAGAGATCTTAGGAGCGATGAGAGCATGGTTCGAGGTAGGTTTAGTCTTAAGCAGTCGTGCAATCATCAGCCGTTAATGTTGACCATGAGAGCGGAGCAATCACAGGGCGGGTCTACAGGAGGAGCGCGCTAGGCTGAATGCGGAAAGGCTAATCAGATCCACCACAATATTTGGGACCGAAAAAAAAGACCCTCCAGATGGAGTCTGGAGAGGCAAAAAGTTGACCTACGCAGGACTCGAACCTGCAATCTCTTGATCCGTAGTCAAGCGCCTTACCATTGGGCCAGCAGGCCAGCTGATATATTTTACTATATTTTTATGGCTTTATTAACCAAAACACCTGGTAGCGCTAAGGACAAGCTAGTCGAGACTAAGCCATTGTATGGCTACTACATTTGGGGCTCAGATAATAGAGCTCTCTAAATATCTCTATGTTATAGATACTTGAAGTTTTGTGAATGAAGTGGGCATCACAGAGAAGACCCAGCAGTAAAAAAGCAATCCATTTAGGCACTGGCTCTCTAACTATCTCTATAGTGTCTACCAGAAGGTCATCCCTTGATATTCTACCATCTTTACAACCCCTTCCCCCCTCTCTCAAGTCTCACCTGAGCGATGAATTCCCGGCTGGGCTTAAGGTCTTCCATATTGAGGAGCTCAATGTACTGACGCGCCGGCAATTCAAGACCCTCGACCATGTGGCTGTTCGGCTGTCCACCATCACCCATCTGTTTCAGCCGGAACACATTCCATTCCCAGGGGGTGAGGTGATCATCAGGCAATCCATCTGAGTGACATTTGACTGCCTGGTTGAACATTGTCTCAAGAAACCGTGACTTTGAGAGAATCTGAACGGGATTCGTACTGCTCTTCCAATGCCCCAGTTGCGGCACTCGAGGGTCCGTAACAACCATATAATTCCGGTCCTCAGGCCGTGGAACACTCAGTCCAGGATCAGGCAGCTTTGGATCAATATCAGACTTCTTGTACAATTTGAGCGACTCACACCAAAACGGAGGGCTACCTTGCGGGCCATGGTCAAGGTGAAAATGATAGGGCGCCGGTGATGACGCTTCTTCAGTCAGAGCATCGTTCTCCCAGTCGCAATTCTCGCCTCCATTGCAGGGCTCGAGGCCGTTGGTACGGAGAGCTTCAGCTGCTTCGTGTACTTTTGCGTCGGCGACAATGAGGGTGGTTCCCTGCAGTAGTTGGGTTAGTATCTTTCCTTCTACTTGAATGTTAGCATAGCAGGGTATGGGTGAAGAACTTACCAACCTGACGGGAATCTCGACGCCGTAGCTTTGCAAAGCGACCTCTCCAATGAAAGCACAGGGTATTCTGGCCTTTTGCAGCCATATTGTAACCGCTTCGGCTGATTTGATCCCATTCTTAGCTGGCTCCATCTCGAACCAGGGCACTTGCGATGAGGGATTTGTGGAAGCCATTTCTAGATTGCAGTCGCAGTCATTTGTCTGCAAAGCATCTGCATATTCTCTTTGGTGGATATTGAGGGTCTTTTATGGTTACACAAGGTAAATGGTCTTCGAAGCGGTTCATTTCTGTCTTTCTTGTTTCTATTTGCTAGCGGAAATTCGCTGGAAAGTTCTCATTGTCATCGGGCATGATCCGATTTTGTGAGTGGATGTCTGGCATGATAAAGACAAGAGGTTATTCCCTTAAATGTTCATCCTGTCGGTACTTCACGTGGTGGATCATTGCTGCTTAGCTGTGATTGTGGTGTAGAGCCTTCAATGCACCAGCAGAGTATCTTCAGGAATAGAGTTGAGGTTCACACGATGTAAGCTGCCGATTAATGCACATGCTGGGCAGCTTCCTAAATATCTATTATCGAATGGGGTCTGTACCTTTGATCATTCTTTTGTTTGGCGACCCATGTACTGAGTAGATGGTATCATGTCTCACATGGTGGATGATGAGGGGCCCTGAGGACAAAGTGATGGGAGTATAGCCCTATCTACTCAATCATTGAACATGGGCAACCGCCGAATACAAAGAATAGCCAAGAAGTCACATATTGTCAACATTTATTGCTTGCCACTCCAAAGCTCTTATCCACCTACCCAGACATACAAGATTCGAGATCTACCGCGAAGCTTCACTACCTGAAGATTGCGAGCCACGCCTCAATCCAATGACCATTTCCAGACCTGAAATAAAGTAACATCCCAGCTTGAAATTAAAATTCTACACCCACTCAAATCTAGCCCGTTTCACCCTATTTCTACCTCCCATCCACAATAGGTTACACCCGTCCCCTCTATCCCCAAAAAGCATAGGGCAAAATCCAACTCTAAAATTGAGTCTCGAACTAAAAGCCCAGACTACGCTTCAGAAGTTCCCCTAAGTATGCAGATCCCTCAACCTTAGCCCGGGCCCTTCTCCACGACGATCCTATCCGTTTATTCCCCTCACACATCGGATCTCGGTCCAAGTTGAACCAGTTCCCATGCATATGATGGTGTGCCCCTGCACCCTAACTGTCCCAGTCCCAGTCAGTCCCAACCCATCCCGTCCATATACTATTATCTTCTACTACACTCCACCCTCCAGTAGTACCTCTCTTTCTACTACTTCCTCCAACCTCACTCACCATCAAAACCATATATACCACCGAGAAACAAAAAAATACTAATAAAAAAAAACACCACCAAAATGCGCCTCTCCTCCCTCTTCCTCCTCCCCACCCTCCTAGCCACCACAGCCATATGCGCCCCCGAACCCATCCCCAATGTGAACCTCAACGACAACAACCTCGTCGCTCTCGCGCAAGCCTTGTTCGTGCCTCCCATTCTCCCAATAACCTAACCAAATTGAACAATCCCACATAATCAGCGATTAGTATATGTTTACTGATAATCTCATACAGAAAACCCTCCCTCCCCACACAAACTCAACCACCTCCCAACCTAGAGAGCGTATCCCCGCCACCACACGCCGTCGTGCATCAAGTCATCACAGCCGTTCCTCCTACAGCGCTCGCGCAGCTCTTCGTTCCCGCGAAGCGTGTCGCCATGGCGAGTGAGTTCAGCGCGGGCAATACGCCCGAGTGGTATAAGGCGCTGCCGACGGACGTGCAGAGTTACTTTGCTGAGGTGAAGAGGCAGATTGCGGCGACCGGGGTGGGTGAGGCGAAGGCTGCGGAGGAGACGAAGTCAAGTGGTAGTAGTGTTTCTGCTGAGGTGAGTGGGTGGTTGGTTGGGTTGGTTGGTGCTGTTGCTGTTGTTGGGGGGGTTGTGGTTTAGGGTTTGGGGTTTGGATTAGTATGGGGTTACTGGGTAGGATGGTCGGAGATTATATAGGGATAGTGGCTTTTTGGTGGAATGGGGGTTGGGAATAATGGTTGTGGGAATGGCTTACTGTCGGGTAGTTGTGTCGAAGGTTATGGGTTGAAAACGTTTGGTTATTGGGTTTTCCTTTAACTTCTAGTTAATTATCTTGCTTCTGTTCCTGATTGTTGAGAATCGTACGGAATAGTGCTTTTGCACCTTGCTATTCCAAACCAACTACGGACGCCAAGCTATGTACATTGTCTGGCCGACATGTATCGACCTTATGGGTATCTATCTACAGATCCGTCTACATAGGTCTCGCACATGAGAAGAGTGATTCCATCATCAAAACATCAATGCACTTCCAATCCCATGCCTTTACCTATCTTCCGTATCAATGCCCGTTTCAAGAACGCTTCTCGCGCAAGCCCACGCGTGTGACGTGACCAGGTCTCAACACCAATGACACCCTTAACAAGCGCAGCTTGAAGGGCGTAGATGGCTTGCTGGATACCGCGTTCCTCCGCAACCAAGTCGTACAATTGCTTGCCCACAACGGTCGGGGCGACGAGAACTTCGTCGATGGGTGGAAGTCCCGATGCAACGGGGTCTGTGCTCGATGAAGGGGCTGATGATGATATACGGCTTTGCGCATCGGCGATGACGCCATCTGCGCGCATGAGAGATTGCTGCAGGGTTGTGGTGTTTGATTGAAGGGTCGCATTGAGTGTGTTGAGCGACGAGACTTCGCCTTGAAGAGTGGCAATTGCCGCATGCAGCGAGTGGGATTGAGAAATCAAGGATTGAGCGGCAGTCTCGGACTGTGCGACATTTGCTTGCAGTGTTTGTGCTAAAGTCTTGGAAACAGCGCGTAGTAGGGCGTCCTTCTCAGGATTCGGTGGAATTGGGGGCGCCGGGCCGGTGGGTGCGAACGAGGGGAGCTCGAGCTCAAACGGAGAGGTGAGAAGATCTTGCGTCTCTGCCTTGGGACGTGGAGCTTGTTGCTGCGCTTGCTGAAGTCCAGCATGTGGTGACGGTTGGGGTGGGACTTGCTGTGGCGGAGGTCTCTGATAGGCTGTAGGAGGGGCTTGCTGTACGGGGTAGTATGTATTATGTTGCGGAATCCCACGACCCGAATCATCTGGACGAGTAACGGGGGTACCGTTCAATGGCCGGAACTGCGCTGGCCCAGCCTGGTATGCCGGTGTCGACTGGGATCCGTGTTGCGGCTGTTGGGGTAAATGATACTGCCCGGATGCCATTGCAGGTGCTTGGCTGCGCTCCGGTGGGTACTGTGGCCCGTTCATAGGACTGCCCATGCTTGCCTGTGGTTGCATCTGTAGCCGCCTAGAATCATGCTCCTTCGGTGGCAGTGGAGGTAGCGGAGGGGGAGACGAGTATCGCGCTGATGACGGAGTGCTCTGTGGTTGTGGCTCAGGTGTCTGCCCAGGTTTCGGCGGCGGCGGCGGTGGCACCTGAGCAGTTACCTGCGGGGAGGCATTCGGAGCGCTATGGGTAGGCGAGGGCCGATTGATCGTGGTATCGAGCTCCGGAGGCAGAGGAGGTAAAGGAGGTGCTTGTGCCTGTACCTGCGCTGGCGGCGGTCGCGGCTGCACAGGCTGTTGTTGTTTGTATTTCACCGGCGGCTCCTTGGCGAAAACCTCACGAAGTATCATTAAGAAGTCAATTAAAGATGATCGCTAAGCTTGGGTGTCAGCGATATGACATGCGCATTGCGACTGCACGATGACTAACCTCCCATGCCTCAGCCCAGTGTGCCAGGTAGTGATGGTACACCCTCCCTTCCAGGGTGACATGCTGACCCACACGAACAGCCATGTCTTGTGTTGGTGTGACATAAACCAATGGCGGTTCCCTGGGGTATGTGTTGGGGATCCAGAGCGTGATGGGAAACTTGTAAACAGTGCCGCGGAACGTCACAGGCAACGTGCCGGTCAGTTGGAGGAGGAGGGCAGAGAAACCGTTTTCGTATGCTAGGAGTCGAGGGAAAGACGTGGTCAGTAAGAGCGCAGTAAGATCGCAGAACGGTGGCATACTGTAAACTTCAGTCCTGGGGCCCAGCGAAGGGTATTGACCGAGCACATTGGCTACATCATAGTAGGTGCGATTGGGGTCCTGGTAGGTTTGTCGGGGATCATAGTGGTCCTATCCCTTGTCAGTGGAAGATTTTATGGGCGTGTGTTCGGTGATTATCTACCCTAATAAGGACACTGTACAGCCAGTTAAGCGTCCTTTGCGGCACAGCAGCCATGTTGGAGGGGGCGAAGGCGCATGATGGGGAAAGTGGGATGGCGGAGTTGGAGTTGGAGTGGGAGTGGGAGTGGGAGCTAGACTAACTGGGCATTGTTGGTGCCTCGCAGCCTCGCTCCACCGCCGCGGCAGTTCCCCGCAACCTCTCCCGCTGACATCTTGATCTATAACATCACCTTGTCAATACTCAATCATCCTTAAAGCCTCTATGCTAGCGGATACAAACTCGCTAGAAACTGCTTGTGACTTAGTAATTGTGCAGGGTCAACGGATGGAGAGTAAAGTGTAGTAAGGAGTTTAGTGCTGTGGCTGGAAGTGAAAGATATAAAAAGGATAGGGTACTAAGCTACGTAGTCCTAGCTAGCGTGTGGCATTCCATTCCCCCAAACCCCAAGTCCCAAACCCTTAGTATAATGGTGCTAGTTGGAGGCTGGAACCAAGCGGAGTCTGATACTAGCTCTCCAGACACTTTATCCTAGGTGACCTCAATGCTAAGCACACATAGGCGATGGCGCAAAACCAACTAGATTCTTGATGGTATTACTACTACCAATAGCTTGATGGGAATCCCCAAAACACCCGACAACTTCGCAAGAAATACGTATAGCCAACCATCTAGCTTTGGGCCAAGGCGTTTCAGCCCGAAGCATTCTATGTGGAATAACACATTAGCAGACCAACAAGAGGACTAAGACCTACTTGCTCCAGGACACCATTGCACTGTTCAGCACACAATGTGGGAGCGGCGGCTTCTCATTCCTAAATTCTGGCTGTAATGGAATACACTGCCCATGATACATAGTAGCTAGACGAATGCACAGATACAAGAATATTGGTCCAGTCCAACAGACTCAAATATCCGCATGCACAAATATATTTACCAGAGGTAAGAGGTGAATACAAATCTGTACCGTGATTAGTGTTGACCAACAATCTAGTCTTCCATTAGGGGCCCCCCTTTTCACTTGCCATTGTTCTTTGAAATGAACTTGATATTGTTTGTCTTACATTAAACATTTTCACAAACACCTTCTGGAGCTTATTGCTCAATGCGGTGAAGATTGGCATTGTTTGGGGTTGGTATCCGCTTTGTTCCATCATAGTATTGTTGCCCTCATATCAGCTCCATCCTACATATTGTCTGTTTCGGTGTTGCAAGACAATATGCAGCATCGCAAGATGCCTTGGCACGATGAATTTACAGCCATGGCTTCTAAGCTGGAAGACAGGCTTGGCCGTATTGCCCGAACACCTATTATACCCTTTCGATGGTCTATACAAGTCGTCTTCTCAACCTCCCATTTTCTTCCGTCGAAGGAACCTGTCCACCTTAGCAACTCGTCATACTTGATCATCACGTTGCAGAGCATATCAACAATACTTGCTACAATCTAACAGCCACAATGGCCTCATTGGATCCTTTTACCCAGAACGTCACCTTCCATACTGGCGATGGGACTGCGTTCGAGGTGAACGTGCAGGACATTGACACCTTCTTGCAGTACTGCATCCAGATCTGCACCAACTATGGCGCCCAGCTTGGAGCTTCCATCGTGCTCTTCGTCATCCTCCTGCTCCTGACTAGACCCGAGAAGCGCAGCTCCAGTGTCTTCATCCTCAATTGCGCCGCCCTTCTCTCCAACGTCGGCCGTCTCTTCTGTCAAATCGTGTATTTCACTACCGACTTCGTGCGAGTGTATGCCTACTTCTCCGGAGACTTCTTCCAAGTGCCAACCTCCGCATACGCCAACTCCGTCATCGCAGTGATATTCTACACCATCCTCGTGATATGCATTGAGGCTTCGCTCGTCCTGCAGGTCCAGGTCATCTGCGCGAACCTCGGTCGTGTATACCGACAGGTCCTCCTCTCACTATCCATCGCGATTGCACTGATCCCAGTCGGATTCCGTATGGGCATGATGGTTGAGAACGCCATAACAATCATGGCAGCCGAAAGTAGCATCCATCTCGTCTGGCTTCAAAGTGCAGAGAACATCACCGCCACAATCAGCATCTGCTTTTTCTGCGCCATCTTCGTTGGCAAGCTCGGATTCGCTATTCGTCAGCGACGCAGACTCGGTGTGCGGGACTTTGGCCCGATGAAGGTCATCTTCGTTATGGGCTGCCAGACTCTGGTTATTCCAGGTATGTGAAACCTCCCCCCACCCTCTCTTACCATCATATTTCTAACTGAACCCCCTCCACAGCCATCTTCTCAATCATCCACTACGTCGCCGCCGTCCCAGCCCTATCCTCCAACGTCGTCACTCTAGTGACCATCTCCCTCCCTCTCTCCTCCATCTGGGCCGGCGTCACCTTGACCAAAGCCTCTACTAGCGCTAGCTCTAGCCCTGCCACCGGCTCCGGATCTGGTTCGTCGGGCCGCAATCTCTGGAACGTGCTCTCCTTTCCGGTCTTGGACAGTAGAAACACTACCAGTACAACCACTTCCTCAATGCCAACTATGAATCCAGTTTCAACCTGCTACGCCGATAATGGTTCCTCCAAGCAGCTCAAGCAGCAGACTAATACCGAGGAAATCGGCATCACAGTTGAACATGAGATCTCGGTGCAGAGCTTCAAGAGGGAAAAGGATATGGTTTGAACTGATTCATGACTACCCCTGCTCCTTTGGTGTGATTCGAAGGGAATCGTTCGTATTACTTTGGGGCTGTGAAATCTGGACATGGTGGTTATGGTCAAGTTGTTATCTCAGGACAGCTCATTTCAATTATGATTTTCTTTTGTGACTGACTTCTGGATTGCTGCGATGTACCGCGTATCAGTGACTTTTATTTCGTTTGTTTAATGCTTATTATCGTGTTCACTGGCATGATATTTAATTTTCTTGCGGCGGCCGATTGACTGGCATTTAATGGAATTAATATTTGCTCGTTACATGGAACAAGTTCACTTTCGATACTAGGGTAGCTGGTACTAGTAGGCGTATTCTTCTCGGTGCCTGTCTTTCAGTGGCATTCAGCAGCGACTTTACCCTTTTATCTAGCGTATCTCCCGCGGAAACGCCACGCTACGATAGGATTTGACATAAGGATCATCACCATAAGCGTTTTAATTAGCTATACTAAGTACTATACGTTGAAGGCAAATTCTATTTGCGACCGCTCCTCTCACAATACCGCCCAGCTGCGTCAAAACACGCTCAGCCCTCCCTGCCCAGCTTCGCCAACGATTCCGTAAGGAAGTCTCTGGCGTTCATCAGATCCGTGCTGCCGTAAACAACCCTCCGTTTCGGTGCCCCATGCACCCCACGATTGGCGGCCCCGGCACCGTCAGCTCCTGGTTGTCCGCTTGTCCGGCTTACCCAGTCCTGCAAGTTGCCATATTCATCCATGCTGCCGCCACCGACGGTGAAGACAATCGCTTCGTTGAAAGCCTGTCGGCGCTGGCCGAAGGTGGCGCTCATGCCGGGCCCGGAGCTGTTCAGGCTCTGTCCTTGGGCGTTGCGCGAAGCCGAGGCCGGAGGCATGGCGCCTCGGGCGTTGGCGCTGCGGGGGTCGAAGTAGAGGTAGCTTTCTGTCTTGGCGATAGCGGAGCTGGATGCGGAGGTGGGGTCCATGATAGATTCGGTGATCTTGGTCAGGGTCAGGTCCTTGTTGGCGGGCAGGAAATTCTTGACGCCGGAAATGAGGGAGTCGAAGTTGGCGCCGAGGGCTCCGGAGGTGATGCGGTCAGTCAGTTGGTTGGAGAGAGAGGAGAAGCCGCGGAAGAGGTTAGAGGACTGCTGTTGGGGAGCGGCTGTTGCGGTAGTCATCATGGTCATGCGCGTTATTTCACGGACCTGTCTGACATAGGCGATGGGGGTCACATCTGTGACGCCGATGCGAGTGAGGGCCTCTTCGAATTGGGTCATCTCAGAGCGGGAAACCTCTGTTTCAGTGCTCAGGAACCAGATGATGAAAAGACGGAGCTTGTCCAGGGGTTCGTTGCCTTTGCTGGAGTCGTTGATGAGTTCCATGATCTGGGCCTTGGTTTGCTTGGTGATGTTTTCTTCCAGTTCGAAGAAGTTATCCAGCTGGCGGTCTTTGATACCCTTGAGCAGGGCGGTCGCAATGTTCATGTGCATGTCAAGAATCGCCTTGCGCTCCCGAAGTTCCGGAAGAAGTGTGATGGCAGCCTTGAGGTGCTGTGCAGAGGCGCTGGTGTCGTTCTGGAGATCTTCAATCGAGGAAGCGCCGGTCTTCTTTGTGATCTCAGTAGCGTCCTCCTTGTAACGTGTAAGCTCCGCATCAATGTCTTCCGCAACCTGAGGAAATGGCGCGCCGGCATTACGCTTCCAGAAGAAGTCGTTGCTATTTAAGTCATATGCTCTCTTTGTCACGCCCTTCGCAGGGTTTGCTTCGTCGGTGGACTCTACGGTGATTCGATTGAGGCGCATCTGTAAAACGTCCTGTACCAGAGACTGGTACGTCCACGAGTGGGAAAGCATAGGCACTAAATCCACGTTGCGATCGACAATAATCAAAACGGGTCGCGATGAGGGAACTCCAGGCGTGTTCTTCTTGGTTGAAAACAAATTGTCTTTCGAGTTAAGGATGTGATCGCGTAGCTTGCGGTCCAGCTTTGTTGCTATCAATTCTGCTGCGCCGCCCTTAGGACACCGGATAATGGGGATGGCACCTGTTCGTATTCACCCGTCAGTTAAGAAACAAGGACCATGTCAAATGACCTACCCATTGTGACGCTGACGCTGAACAACCCGCTTACAATCCTATCTACAATCGCGTCCAGATCATCGTCGCTGGTTTGCGCACTGTTGATCTTCCAGTATGCGTCGTTTCCTAGCCCCAGGCTGAAAAGGTCCGGCTCAGCCACAATGAAGTTCAGATACTGATCATAAACTTGTGCGACATGCTCTGCGGTTCCGGTTGTCGCTATCTGAGACGCAAAGTCTTCGAGGAGGGGTCTGGGTACGGAGGAGAGGAAGTTGACGTAGGCGGGAGAGTAAAGACCGCGAGAAAGGTCGTTCGTGATCGCTTCGACGTTAGAAGGTGTAGGTTCGACGAGGTAAACAACAGGAACGTCGGGAATTGGGTATCGTGTGGAATTGATATTTCTGGCGCAGGTCGTTAGCTACGTCACGTACGCAGAGCGATCGATTTAGGGGCCTGGACCAGGGTCCGTACAGATGAATTGTGACTCCCCAAGCTCTGAGGTCATTGACCCGCAGCACGCTGCTGATGACATCTCTTCCCATATTATCAAACACCAGGACCTTCCAGATAGGATCGCCATCCTCGTTCAGTACCGGGGTGGAAATGAGGCCCTGCGCGGACGCATCGTGGTGGGCGTCTTCCGCGGGTTGCGGTTCATGGTTCAAGTTGAGTATCTTGTGAATGGAGGCTGAGATTGAGTTAGGAAATTATGAGGGTCTGCACAAATCCAATACGGACAGCAGAAACCTACCGACCTGACGGTCCCTCAAAGACGTTTGTTGCGAGGCCATAGTAGTTCGAATTAAGCTGGACTTGCTTTCACCCCGGATGGTTATCACGATTACCAGGAATGGCCAAGATTCATGACATGTGGTGAGGGAACAGTGGCAAAGAGATCAACTGATGCGATAGTCAATTCCGGAGAGAAAAGCAGTAAGACTCTCAAACTCCGCTGGAGATAGATAATATGATAGAGAGGAATTACCCACTCATCAGTCTGTAACTACACACTCTCCACCTGGCATCCTGAGAAGCTCCCGCAATTGATGAGGAGATGACATAAGCTCCCGCCCAGCCAATCTGGGCACTGCGATCATGTGCCTCACGCTAGGTCGGAAGAGGCGTAGCTCATTTCAGGCGTGGCCCAACCGAGCGCCGCCCGGCTTTTTCAGTCTCACGACAACCAGCACTACCAACCACCCTCCCTCTCCCCCCATCCCTATCCCTTCCACCCTTCCTCGTAAAGCAAATGACTATGCTGCTAAGCTGCAGTCCCGAGTGGTTCTTTGTATAACACCTTTTCTTATCATCTTTTAAGACAGAATAAGAAGAAAAGGTCCACCCAGGACAGGCAGTACGAGTGACTTTTTGCCTCAGCTGCTTTTGCAACCAAAAGAATCAGACAGAGAAAGTGAGGCTGGCAGGAGAGAAAGAGTGACAAGGACAAGGATACAAACACAAGGCTTTTATTTGTTTAAAAGGATTGCTTGGGAAAGCCGGAGAAGGACAGAAACAGAAGAAGGAGAGCAGGCTCTTCAGGAAGCCAAAGATTATCTTACGTCTATTATACGGAGTACTTGGCTGGTGTATTCGAAAGAGTTGATCCAGCTTCTTGCAGCGTGGACAACCTTGTTCTAATCTGCCTAAAAGAGAAAGAAAGAAGAGAGAAAGAGAGAGCTGAGAGGAGAGGCTGCACACTGGGGATACCGCGCAACGTGACGTGACGTTAAGGATATCAGGCACAGCCAAAGCCGAAAAGTCTGGTGCCATTGCTTCCCTCTCTGACTTACTCCGAGAGCTCAGGTGTGGTTCCCTTCCCCCCCTTCCGCTGCCTCCGAATAGGAGACAATTTCACGAAACTGGAAAGCGGGAAGAGCAGCGGGCGCCGACCATTTGCCACCCTCCATTTCGGCAACCCATCAGTTCTCTACCTACAGTACTTACCTAGTACCCTATTTGCACTACGGAGTACTACTACTTACTACACCTACACTACTACTACTACTCTACATATCTCTTGACTATCTCGGTCTTGGTCCAGTCCTTGGTCCACTATCGACGTATCAGCGATCCCTTAGGCTGACAAACACGGTTGGGACGATTGATTCGCCCAGAGAGCTCTTGACCTAATATCCGGCTCCATTGGGAAGGTTTATTGCGCCGCCGTTACGCGTGACGGGAGAGCCAATCAGCGCGCGAGTGGGCGAGTCCTCCCCACCAGGGGAATCACGCCCAAACTCCGACCAAGTCCAGAGCGGCATTGGCTCTTGTCCCAATTGAGCCTGGTCCCTCCCACTGGCACCTACACCACAACCCCGGCACGTGGATGCATGTGACTTATACTACATTTGGCCGTGCACCCGCTTTACTGCCTTAGTACCTTGACTCCACCCGCCGCTACCCACGACAATCATATACTTCTTCTCGACCTACATATTCTCCCAGGATCGAGGGTCCGTGGGTTTCTAGAAAGCGGGGGATGAATGGGAGTATGGAGCAGTCACCGCCGCAAAATATCATGCCCGGTCTGCACCGTGCACCAGTAGACCCCGGCTCGCTGCCGCCCGAATACTGGAACAGCTTTGAGCCTCTGTATACCAGCCCCGACCCCCCACATCAACATACGCACCCATCCCAGCCGCCGCAGCTTCAGCAAATTCAGCCGGCACCGCCGCAACAGCAACATGCGACGCCAATGGGGATTAGCTGGGATCACCCCATGTTCAGTCAAGCTCCCCAAACCCGGAGTCCTCTGCCCACACCCCAGGAACAGAACCATGGCATCTATACGTCGGCGACCCCCCAATCGTGGCGGACAACTTCTTTGCAATCCCAGCAAATAATTCATCCCACGCCGCAGACGTTCTCCATGAATCAACAGTATCGTCAGGCGCAATTTCCTCATGCGCAACCGGCGTTTGATTCACAGCCACTCCCCTCGTCCGACAACTCGCACTTCCAGTCATACACCTTTCCCCGTGGCTACTATCCTCCTCAGAATCTCTCGGTGCCAGATGTCTTTCCTCAGTCTCACTCTCCTCGGCCCACTCAAACACAAGCCCAGCCAACACAATATCGGTCCGATTCTCATCAGCACCAAGTCCCTCAATATTCTCTTCCTGCGGGCTATCCGGAGGGGAACACGGTATGATCCATCGAATTATTTACTTACGTCAATTGCTGACCCTCACTAGCATATCCCGATCAATTTCGCTGCCGGATACGGGCAGTCGACTCCAACTGTTTCTGAGCAGACCATCAATCCACAGTTTCTGAACTCACCGCAACAAGCTGCTAGCCAGCAAGCATCCCTCCAGAATAATCTGCTATACATGAATCCTGCGGACTTCGAGCGTCCTGAAGATCCAAAGTATGTTCCAATAAACGGTTGATCCTTCTTGATAATTGCATGCGTCCTGACTGTTTATAGGTTGTACTCTTTCTTCCGGGATGACTTGCAAGTTCCACAAATTCTGGGTCAGGGTCAAGGTCAGGGACAGCCACAGCCACAGCATACACCCCAGCCTCAGCCTCGGCCTCAGCCCATGGCACGGAACCAACCAATCGCCCCAACCACGCAATATGAGTTCATCGTGCCCTTAAACGGTAAAATCCACTCCACCCCATAGTTGCGCCGCATTCACTCACCAGACCAGGTCAAGATACAGTCACCCCTGTCGCACCAGTCAAAGCAACAAAACCTAAGAAGCAACCCAGCGTGAAGAAACAATCACAGCCCAAAAAGCCCACCATGAAAGGGGGAAGCAAGAAGCTGGATGGGCAGTCGGCGTCGAGTTCTGAATCAGATAGCTCTGATGAGTCAGATCTTGAGATCGAGGAGCCTGAAGAGGTATCTCCACTACCACCCACTCGTCCTAGCGAACCCGAGGCTGCCGCGCGGTATGACGCGCTCAAAGCTGTGTGGTCTCCACGTAATAGGCACCCTAATGTTGACAAGGTCAAGAGTGCACTGGTTGCGTTCAAAGATGTTGTCAAAGCCGTAAGAGATGCGTGGAAGGAAAGCAGTCAAGCCATGAAGGTGGCAGAAAACAAGGGTGATAATGACAAAGCAGCGCAACTAAAGAAGAACGTGGTCCTTCAACGGCGGCTTATGGACGTCGTCGTCAGCACAACCCAGGAGCAAGGCCACCCGATCATTGTCGAGAAGTATGTCCTTTCTCTACTGTCTTCCCTTTCCTTCCCACATTTGGCATGTCCTCGTGGCCATAGAAGTCTGAAACGAATTGAGAGCCTCTCCCATGTAATCTACCTAGTGTGGGCTTTGGCATATAAAAATGTGCTTATAAGTAAGGGTGCATATATGCTCTTCATCCGAGGACTAAGCATACCTAGCTGTGTGTCCTCAAGCACGAGGCAAATGAGGATAGAATGCCCATCCCGGATCAGACAAGCACTCTCCTGCCGTCATTGTACAGGTGTCCAAAGGGTGTTCCATTATGGTGTCACCCTTCGGAGCTTGAACTCTGTTAGCCTCCGGATGCGTTGCATCTGCTTATTGATATTTTCACTTTCATTTTCTAGATTGTGCCGGTCGCTGACTTATGTGTTTCCAGGTTGGGTGAACATCCAATGGCTGTAGCTGCCCTGTATTCATTCTTGCTGGATCGTCACCAGGCTTCTGATATTGACGGTACTCTGACTGTGAATATACTCAAGGTAAATTTACAAAGCGGCTTTGGAATCCCTTATTGAATCAGGACTGACCTTCACTGTAGTTGCTTTCCAGATTCGTGACAATGGATGAAGATGTTCTTCAGAAAACGAACGTTGCCAAATTACTGCCTAGATTCGTCAAGAAGGGCGGACCGGCAGTAAAAGAGCTAGCTCAAAAGATCATGGACAATGCCGCTGCCTCAACGAAACGGAAACTAGAGGCGGGTAAATCCGCTTCGAAGGACGGTTCGCCTAAACCTTCAGTGGCTGACGGGCCCCTCCCAGATGGACGTGGTGGTGAGGGTACTGGATCTAAGAGGCCCAGAGAAGGTGAAGGGAATGGGCAACCAGCAACCAAGCGAATGGTTGTCCCTGCACACCCCAAACCGGCAGCAAAACCAAACAGCACTGCGGTTTCTGGTGTCAGCAAACGCCCGCAGGAGGTAGGACAAGATAGCAAACCAGCTGCAGCCAATGCAGCCCGCCCCAAGGCCAACATCATTGCACCGAAACCTACCAGCCTGTTTGGTAGTTTGAGCTCGGCCTCTAAAAGACCTGGAACATCGAACGCAGAGCGAGCGGCCGCGGCGGCCGCAGCGAAAGCAAAGTGCGTGTCATTTCATTATGTTTCTGCTGGTTTGACGGCTAACATAATGAGCAGTAACCCTGCGGAAAAGAAGGAACCCCCGCCCCCAAGGCCTACTTTCTCATTTGGGGATTTGATGGCAGATTTGAACAAGCAAAAGGATCCTGCTCCTGTACAGCCTGCGGAGGATAGACCCCCCGAGACCGAAGAAGAACGGAAGAAGAGGTTGCGTAAAGAGGCACGCCGGAAGTTGCGTGTCACATGGAAGCCTGATGCGTCACTTACGGAAGTTCGTCTATTCACGCATGACCCTGAAGAAGAACTCGGCCCTGGCGATCACCTGGGAGATGTCAAGGGTGAAGGCAGTGTGCTAAAACTTCACCGAGACCTCGACGAGCTTGAGGAGGAAGATGACGGTGGCATCCGTGAAGAGCAATTGTTCGACTACTATGAGCCTTCGGGTAGGTCATTGAATTTTGTGATGTTGTCGTTTTGTGTCTGGATACTAACCGACTCAGAAATTGACAACGGCGACATCGCACCCGACGATCGCGCGAGAAACTACATCAAGCGCGGCGGCACTGCTGAGCCGATTAGTCCTGAAAAGAGTGCTCAGGAGCATCGGGAGGCCACAACGCTTATGGTCTTCTATACCTCGCCAGCAGACGTACCGTCAACACCAAAGGAACCTCCCCCAGCGGATGCGGAAGACACCGCCCCCGAAGTTATTTCCTTTGGGGAACTACCGGACCATGTCAAGGTATGTTCCGTTTCCCATTCTTGCATTTGACGTCTTCTGACAACCGTGCTAGGCCCGACAAGATCGATACTTCGCGATGGTGAACCCTAAGCCAGCACCAGCTCCCCAGAGCGCACCGAACGCGCCATTTGATATCTCGAATTTACTCAAGATCATCCAAAGCGCGCCTCAGCAACAATCTACTCCACCACTAGCTCAACCCCAAGTCGCCCAAGCACCCATGTCCGATCTTGAGCGAACCTTCAGCATGTTCCGCCAGCAGCAGCAGCAGCAGCAGCAGCAGCCGCCCCCGCCTCCGCAGGCACCATTGCTGCAAATGCCCCAGTTCCCGCCGGCTTCTCAGCCTCAAGCTGCTCAGGGTGTAGATTTCCAGGGACTTTTGTCGATCTTCAATGCTCAAAAGCAGATGCAACCTGCACCCATTGTACCGCAGGTCCAGCCATCACAACCTAGCATCGCTCCTAATCTGGCTGCCATTATTTCCCAATTAACTAGTCAAACTCAATCAGCTGCGGCCAATGGGCATCCGCCGCCAGGCCACTACGAGGATCCGGAGCGGAAGCGTATACGTGAAACCGGCGGATATGACGGCAACGACGATGAAAGGTTCAATTCTAAGCGAAGCAGATCAAATGAGCCGAACAAGAAGCATGTAAGTGCCTCTCACCTTGCATTGTTTTATTCCAATGCTAATATAATTCTAGCCCAAAGCAGGATTGGTTCCTTGTCGGTACTGGCGAGAAGGCAAGTGCCGCAAAGGTGACGAATGCACGTTCCGCCATGATCCCTTGGACTGACGCTTCTCTTTCTCTTCTCCTGATACCCCTCTTGGTTCTCCTTCATTTATACATTCCTGTAATTTCACAATCTCGCATTTTTATATCACCTTACCATTGTACATTTGCCTTGCATGTGTTGCATTGTCAATCAACGGTGTCTCAACCTTTCCTTATGTTGGGAGAATTCTCATAGCGTCACGCATCTCATTTCGGAGCATACCATATGTGGAGTATCTAAGGTGTTGCGTGAGGATTACGATTATATGTCTTATTCTCTCTATCGGCTACACGTTTCTGAGTGTGTTGATGCTGTGTCTGGCGTTCGGGGTGTGTGGCTGCTCAAGAACGAGCAGACTAGCATGTACATTAATAGTGATCAACCGTGGCAAGGGTTTATCTGCCGCCGAAACAACCAGCGACTATATTTCCTTTGTTCACTTCTTTCTTCCCTGTAGTTTGAAGCTTAACAGAGACAATCAATTTATCCGATAATATCATACACATTCACATTGATAGCAATATCGATAACCCGCTTAGGTAATCCCATAAACATGTCAATAACTAACTAGTCAGTACACACCACCAACGCCTCAACTTTGTGAGCACTACATCAACACATTTTCCATAAATACACTCCACCCCTCAAACCACCCCTCTCAGACCCACAAATTCCCCTTATACCCAGCCCATAACTCCAAACCATAATGCAAAACCAGCAACCCCACTCCACCCACCTGATCATTGTCTGCTGCCACGCCATATACACCGGCGGGCCTACAAACGGTCAATCGGAAGATGAATGGTACGCAGCCGTCCCCATGATCCCACCACTAGACCCTACCGAAATGACAAATGACTAATCTAAAATTATTTGCCTGATGCTAATCATGAAGACAGGATCATAGAACCCTTCCAAAAGGGCGAAACACCAACGTTCACAAACCACGTCAAGGCAGGATTACAGGCTTTGGCTAATGATCCTGATGCCTTGTTGGTGTTTTCTGGGTACGTATGATGCTTATTACTCGTCGAGCTGGTTCTGCTTTTGCTATGTTTGGTTGAACTAGGGTGGATGGCGTGGGTGTATAGTTATACATATTTGTAGTATTGAGTTGGTTGGCTTGTTTGCTGATGTATGGGTAAATATAGGGGACCTACGAAGAAAGGACGCACGGATCTTGCGGAGGGGGTGTCGTATCTTGTAAGTTACTCCCTTCAATATGTGATGGTTTTATCCATGTCTATTATGTCTTATCTCTTCTCCCCCGTGACATGACAAGGAATGGTTGTTCACTAATACACCACGCCAGAACCTCGCCAAAGACAACAACTACTTCGACTTCGCTCCGCGGATAGACCCCGCACAAGTGGTCGCTGAGACCTACGCTACAGATTCATACCAGAATGTCTTGTTCTCGATGCTCCGGTTTAGACTGTGCACGGGTGTTTATCCGCGCCGGGTGACTGTCGTGACGCATGAGTTTAAACGGAAGCGGTTCGTAGAGTGTCATTTTCCGGCCTTGGGCCTCTCCAGCTCTGCATCTACGGTTGTTGGGATTAATCCGCCCGAGGAGGTGACGCCGTTGGCTTCCCTTGTGGCTGGGGAGGAGAAAAGTGGGATTGGGTTGTGGAGGAGTGATAGATATGGGGTGCAGAGGGAGTTAGCCGGGAAGAGGGTTAAGCGTGGGTGGAGGGCCGGGATGGAGGATGGGGTGTTTGTGAATGTGGGTTTGGAGGCTGTTGTGGAGGAGTTGGTGAGGTGGGATGGAGGGGAGAACGGGAATGAAAGGTTTCCTAAAATGGAGGAGTTGCCTTGGTGGGGACAGGTGTAATAATGTAATAATGCAGATAGATTCGTTAGTCATTGGTAGATAGCAATCATGCTGGTTGTGAGAAAATAGATGTAGAATACACAATGATGAAAAGATGCCCGAAATGCTCCCGAATTCAGATCCCGCCCTCTCTTCCGTAACGCCTCCGTTTAAACACCTGATGATGTGGAGAAGTGACTAGTCAGCAAGACGATAGCTGACTAGTGTCTCTACGCGGTGGTTGTTGGTGCTGAAGCTTCGGAGCTGCACCTTCTCTGCGTTCTTGATCTCTTTGGCGTCACTGTCGCCCCATTCCACGGGAACCTCGGAGTCGGCATCGGCGTACACGAGGACATTGAATGTGCAGTCGCCATCCAGGACGGGCAGGAATGTGACTGATGCAGTGATCTGGCGGAAGATAGCCTGGATTTCGTCTTGGATTTCTTTCTCGGTCTTCTCAACGGTGGCAGCAGCCTGGGGGTCCTTATCACTATAGAAGGCGAGGCCTGGTTAGCGGAGTGGAGTGGAATGCATAGTAATAAAAACTTACCCAGGGGCTGCGTTCTCCTTGTCGCCAGTAGTGCGGGATGATTGGCTCTTGGAATGCTTTCCGAAGATTTGCACCTGATACCTCGTTAGTCCTGTATACGGTGAGAGGACACAACTTGCGTACATCAAACTGCCATCTTTCCACGTGTTCACCAGTTTCCTTGTCCGTGATAACAATAACAAGCTTAGAGATCTTGCCACCCGTCATCCATTTGTTCAACTGCGACATTATCTTCTTGATGTAGGCTTTGACCTGGTCGTCGGCGGTAACTACTATGGGTCAACAAGGCAACTCCAGTAGCAGGTTCGTAGTGACAAACCCAGCATGTTGAGACCATATTTCTTGACACTTCGTAGAACTGGTTAGTCTGCTTCCACAATAGCAGGCTACGGCACTCACGTTGTGAAATCCTCTGGAGGGTAGACTCCTCTCTGGAAGCTGGAAGACATTAGATGGGCACTTCCGTGCGAAGATTGGCAATAAACCTACAGAATCGAGTTGATGGAGTATTCAAACTAGGCTCATTAGTATTTTTTTTTGGATTGAATCTCAGACAAAAAAGATAAACTCACGAATTCGGCCACCAGCTTCGCCGATCCTGCTTGTGTATAAGCTTCTGCTCATATCTCACAGACTATTAATCCGTACCTTTCAAGGACAGCTTGTGGACCTTGGACTTATCCTTAGTAGCGGACATGATGGCTGTGAGAGTTCCTGGGACTGAAGTGTTGACGACAAGCTGCTCAGCGTAAAGGGTTGCATGCGAGGGGAAAGAGGGAAGCTTTGTTTATCGAGACAGTCACCGCGGCAATCTGACTGACCGCCCGCCAACTTGGTCTCCGCAGCCGCACTTTTTCCGCCCGCAAACTGGACGGAGACTTGCCTGTGCCTGACCGTGTCTGCAGTCCGCATACTATCTCGTCCAAGCAATTCATTCCCATGCAATTGCAGACCTCCAGATGCGAGGATGCCTGCAGTTAGCCAGGTGGCTGCGCGCAGCACCGAAATGTCCTGCTGCAAGCCTTCTCAAGCCGCCGTCCGGCCTTGCTAATCCAGCCCGGTTTTTCACGACTTCCGCCGCATGCTGGGCATCGCGCGGCAGGGCACCGGCCAGCCAGCCAGCCTCCGACCTGGAATCAAGAATCGCAGCTATCCCGATCGACCGATACCGTAACTTTTGCATTGTCGCCCACGTTGACCATGGCAAAAGTACCCTCTCCGATCGGCTGTTGGAACTTACCGGAACGATCCAGCCTGGTATGAACAAGCAGGTTCTGGACAAGCTTGACGTCGAGCGTGAACGAGGTATTACGGTGAAGGCACAGACATGTACAATGATATACAACCATAATGGCGAGGACTATCTGTTGCATTTGGTGGATACACCGGGGCATGTGGACTTCCGTGCGGAGGTTTCGCGCAGTTATGCCAGTTGCGGAGGAGCGTTGCTGCTAGTCGATGCCAGTCAAGGTATCCAGGCTCAGACAGTCGCCAACTTCTACCTCGCGTTCTCTCAGGGCCTGGAACTGATTCCCGTCATCAACAAGGTGGACCTGCCGTCCGCTGACCCGGACCGTGCTCTTGACCAAATGGAACAGTCCTTTGAGCTGGACACGGAAAGCGCAGTGTTGGTATCAGCCAAGACCGGTCTCAATGTGCAGCAATTGCTCCCTACTGTGGTGGAGAAGATTCCGGCGTGAGTTTAGCCTATACAAACCCTTTTAGCCAAGCATTGAAACTGACTCAAAAAGACCGGTGGGAGATGTCAACAATCCCTTACGGATGCTTCTCGTTGATTCCTGGTATGATTCGTACCGAGGTGTCATCTGCTTGGTCCGCGTTTTCGACGGTGAAATCCGGGCAGGAGACCAGCTTGTGTCGTTCGCGACTGGAATCAAATACTTCGTGGGTGAGGTCGGAATCATGTATCCCAATGAGACTGCCCAGTCGGTCCTTCGTGCTGGCCAGGTCGGCTACATCTTCTTCAACCCGGGTATGAAGCGAAGCAAGGAAGCCAAGATCGGTGACACCTACACGAAGGTTGGGTTTGAAAAGGTCGTCGAGCCGCTTCCGGGCTTCGAAGAGCCCAAGGCAATGGTTTTCGTGGCCGCCTATCCCGTGGACGCGGATCACTTTGAGCACTTGGAAGATAGTATCAACCAACTTTGCCTGAACGACCGGAGTATTACTGTGCAAAAGGAATCGTCTCATGCTCTTGGAGCAGGTTTCCGGTTAGGCTTTTTGGGAACACTGCATTGCTCTGTCTTTGAGGACCGTCTGCGCCAGGAGCACGGTGCCAGTATCATCATTACTCCTCCTTCCGTTCCCGTGAAACTCATCTGGAAAGACGGCAGGGAAGAGATTATCTCCAATCCCGCCAAATTCCCGGAGGATGAAGAGCTGCGCGGCAAGGTATCCGAAATTCAGGAGCCTTATGTCGTCGCTACTTTGACCCTCCCCGATGAGTATCTCGGAAAGGTCATCGAGCTCTGCGAATCCAACCGAGGCGTGCAGAAGAGCCTTGAGTACTTCACTTCGACTCAAGTCATTCTCAAGTATGAACTGCCCCTTGCGCAGCTGGTCGACGACTTCTTCGGAAAGCTCAAGGGCTCTACTAAGGGCTACGCCACCCTTGACTACGAGGAATCCGCGTGGCAAACAAGCAACATCGTCAAGTTACAGCTTCTGGTGAACAAAGCACCAGTGGATGCAGTCGCAAGGCTCGTGCATTACAGCCAAGTAGAACGATTGGGCAGACAATGGGTGACCAAGTTCAAGCAGCACGTTGACCGACAGCTCTTTGAGATCGTCATCCAAGCAGCTGTTGGCCGCAAGGTTGTGGCGCGTGAGACCGTCAAGCCTTATCGGAAGGATGTCCTCGCGAAGCTGCATGCCAGTGATGTCAGTCGGCGCAGGAAGCTGTTGGAGAAGCAGAAGGAGGGACGTAAGAAGCTGCGGGCGGTTGGAAATGTGGTGATTGAACAGAAGGCATTCCAGGCTTTCTTGGCTAAATAATGGGCACCTTCATGCCTGCCACTGTACAGTATATTATATCATATTTGCTTCTGCTGTATTATTATATTGATAAATAGAACTTGCATCTGAATGCCTTCTTCCATTGACAATGATGTCTGTATAGAATTGTAGTATGCAGTGTGAATACTGGGCTTCCCGGGAACTCTGATTGGCGGAGCGGCGGAAGCTGGAGCTTACAATTTAACCGCAGAAAAGTTCGTCGCCGACCCCGCCGCCGCGGTCGTCTGCAATTTCTCCCCCTCCCGCGGTCGCTTTCTCTCGCTGGCTTTCCTTCCTCCAGATCCACAAGCTGCAGTGCCGCTGGGTGCAATACTGATCATCATTCGTCTGGGCGACCTTCTTGCTCGTCGTACGGTGATTTCAGCGCCGTCGCATTCTACCCGTTGAGTCAGTGTCGCCTTGCCATGATCATCATCTGACAACGGCGATGCAGCCTCCAGAAGGTGTGCAGGTCGACCTGGGCAAGGCCCAGGTCATTGACCGCGTTCCCAAAGTTATCAAGGAGTTGAAGTTTGGTGTTTTGTAAGCATGACTCTGCTTCTCCCAGTTCTACCCCTCTTGAATCTCCGCTGCGGAGCAGTCAAGACTAATACCGTGCGTCAATCGTTTAGGTCCAACGATGACATTGTCAGCCAAGGTGTGGTGGAAGTTTCGGATCGCAAGTTCTTCGACCTCGATCATGATCGAGCGGTGGTAGCCAATGGCCCTCTCGATGCGCGCATGGGTATCTCCAACAAAACCTCATCATGTCAGACTTGTGGTGGCGCTCTGCAGGTTTGCAATGGACATTTCGGTCACGTCCGGCTCGTATTGCCAGCTTTTCACGTCGGATACTTCAAGCGAGTCATCACCATCCTACAGGAAGTTTGCAAAGAATGTTCGCGCATTCTGCTCCCCGAAGCCGATCGCCGTGCCTACCTTCGTGAAATGCGTCGTCCTGGGTTGGATAATTTGCGGCGCGGCCAGATTGCGAAGCGGATCAACGAGCGGTGTCGCAAGACACGCAACTGCGAGGCCTGTGGTGCGGTTAACGGTGTGGTGAAGAAAGCTGGAACGAGCGCCCTCAAAATCACTCACGACAAATTCCGTGCATTCAACGCCTCGACTTCCGTTAAGAAAGTTCCGCCGCCTAGCAAGATTGTTTTCGACCGGTCATTCGACGAAGCCAGAACGTCCAACGCGGAGGTTGAGAAACATTACAAGAAGGCCCAGGATGATATGAACGCTCTCCGCGTGCTGAACCTGTTCAAGAAGATTTCCGATACCGATTGTGAGCTCTTGGGACTGAACCCGAAGGAAGCAAGGCCGGAGATGTTCCTCTGGCAGTTCATTCCCGCTCCTCCGGTGTGTATTCGTCCTTCCGTCGGTCAGGATGCGGCGTCCACCGAGGACGATTTGACAGCCAAGCTGGGTGACATCGTCCAAAGTAATATCAACCTGAAGAACGCATTGTTGAAGGGTGCGCCGGTACAGACAATCATGGAGTGCTGGGACTACATGCAGCTACAGATTGCCGTGTATATCAACAGCGATGTGCCGGGTCTGAACAAGGCAGACCTTGGAAAGCCCATTCGTGGTTTTGTGCAGCGTTTGAAGGGTAAGCAGGGTCGATTCCGTGGTAACTTGTCCGGAAAGCGTGTGGATTTCTCAGGCCGTACTGTCATTTCCCC